GGAGGGAGGCCTCGTAGAGGCTCTCCTCGTCCATCACGAAGGACCGGTCCAGCAGGTACTGGGTGACCTGAGGGCGGGGCCGGAGAGGGGGAGGGGGTGTAACCCGTGACTGTGGGCATCAGCATCTCCCGGGAGCCAGGCACTCCTCGGGGGCACCAGCAGCCAAAAGGGGTGAAGCCGGGTTCTGTCTTATTATTAATATTACTAGAGGCCCGGTGCACGAAATTTGTGCAAGAGTAGGTCTTCCCCCAGCTGCCGGCATCGGCTTCCCTCTGGCACCCGGGACCCGGGCTGGCTTCCCTCCGGTCCTCGCTTTGTCCGGAAGGACATCCGGAGTGATGTCTGGAAGGACGTCTGGTCTAATTAGCATATTACCCTTTTATTATTATAGATTTGCCATTGTTCGTCCTCACCCGAGTCTGTTTTCCATGGATTGATTTTTAGAGTGAGTGCGAGGGAGGGGGCGAGACAGAGAGAGAGAGAAACATCGCTGTGAGAGGGACGTCTTGATCCGCTGCCTCCTGCCCGGGCCCCGACCGGCGCCGGGGATGGAGCCTGCAACCAGGGCACGCGCCCTTGACCGGAATCGAACCCACGACCCTTCAGTCCGCGGTCCGGCGCTCTAACCACTGGACCGCACCGGCCGGCTGGGACTCTTCTGATTGCTCCCTTAGAAAAACCACCTCTTGGCTGGGCCAGTTGCACAATGGTTAGCGCACCAGCCTGCACACTGAAGGGTCCGTTCTTGGTCAAGGCGTGTCCCTGGGTTGCAGGTGTGACCCCTGGCCTGGGTCAGTGTGTGTGTGTGTGTGACAACCAATCCATGTGTCTCTCACCGATGTCTCTCTCTCTCTTCCCCGGCCCTCCCTCTTGCTCCCTCTAAGGATCAATGGGAACAATGCCCTCCAGTGAGGATTAACAATAAAAATCAAATACATCCGGTCTCCTGGGTGCGTCCGGCTGGCTGCCGAGGGAGGGCTGGAGCCCGAGGTCTCGTGGGCTGGTCACCAGCTACCGATGAGCGGTTACAGGTCTGCCGGTGGCTCCCGCCGGCCCCGGCAGGCAGACAGCTCAGATGGGGTCTGGTGAACCCGTAACCCCTGGGAAAGACGGGGTGGGGCGCCTCCCGGCCCCGGGGAGGCAGACTCGTCTTTTATGCCCCGCCGGTCGCTTCCGGGACGGCCCTGCTCGGAGCAGAGGTCTGCACCCTCCCAACCCCTCCTCCATAGCGAGCTGGCTCAAGGTCAAATCGCCTTCAAGGTCACGTGCCTCAGGGTCGTCTCCCGCTCAGGTTCTGCTTTAGGGGGTGACAGTGGAAGCTGCCGGAGAAAGGGTCTGAGAGAGCAGGGAGGGTCCCTGGCATCGCCGACGGGGCTTGCGGGAGAGTGTAAGGCAAGGGGCCCAGGCCCAACGCCGAGCCCGGCACACAGCAGGTGCTCAGTAAATGCTGGCCTGAGAGAATGAATGAATGCAGAGCGAGGGAGATGTTGCCCAATGGTTAGGCCGGCGATGTTCAGCTGGTGGGGGCCGCAAGAATTTTTAAGCCCGGCCGGCGTGGCTCGGTGGTTGAACGTCGACCTGTGAACCAGGAGGTCACGGTTCGATTCCCGGTCAGGGCACATGCCAGGCTTGTGGGTTCCATCCCCAGTGTGGGGGGTGCAGGAGGCAGCCGATCCATGATTCTCTCTCATCATGGATGTTTCTAACTCTCTCTCTCTCTCCCTTCCTCTCTGACATCAATAAAAAAAAAATATTAAAAAACCCACAAAAACCAAAACCAAAACAGACGTGACGTCGCCCCTTACCTTCGCCTGGTGCTCTATCTTGTAGGCGGTTTGCTGGAACTGGCGAATCTCTCGGATAATGTGGGATATCTGCGGGGAGGGAGGGGGTGCTGGAGGGAGACAGGCTCCCCTCTCAGTGCCACCCCGACTCTGCAGGGCAGACAGGCAGACGGGCACCCCACTCCCCAGGGCAGACGGGCACCCCACTCCCCCAGGGCAGACAGGCAGATGGGCACCCCCACTCCACAGGGCAGACAGGCAGACGGGCACCCCCATTCCACAGGGCAGACAGGCAGATGGGCACCCCCACTCCCCAGGGCAGATGGGTACCACAGGGCAGACAGGCAGACGGGCACCCCCACTCCGCAGGGCAGACCAGCAGCCACAGCCCAGGCCGCAGGCAGCGTCCTGGCCACGGTTAAAGGCCTCCGCCTCCCTCCCGTCCTGAGGGCCTACTGTGTGCAGGCTCCCAAGAGGCCCCTCTATTAAGCGGGGAGCCCGATACAGGCGGGGGCTCCAGGGGGGAGGGAAGAGGGGAGGGACGGCGAGCAGCCAGGCGCCCCCCGGCCCCTGCTCGGGGGTTCTCCTCTCCCCGAGAGCCCAGGCTGCTCACTGGGGACACGGGAAACCTCCCAGCTGTAGGAGGAGCTGC